GAATATGTGGCTGTGTGTCCTAGTCCTTCTTAACCTAAAGAGCAGTAAAAGAGACAGAGCAGGGCCTCCCCGGTGGCGTAGCGGTTGAGTGCTGGGCTGCAAAGCTGCCCGCAGCCTCTGCAGCACTGGTTCGATCCCCGGTCACGGGCAAGGGTCCCACATGGCACGCAGACCTCTCCTGCCGCGCCCGCTGCTCCCCTCAGCAGTGTACTTCGGTCCTTCTGCCTGTTCCGCTCCCCGCTCTAGCTCTGGTGAATTCTCTCACCCTCCCGCGCTTCTCACTGTACCCAGTGCTTGTATAAATAAATAAATAAATCTTTTTTTAAAAAAAGAGAGACAGAGCAGCAGCCAAAGACAGATGCCTAGCACATGTCATGTTGCCTCTAGTGGCTAAATAACCCTTAACCTCATTGAGTCTCGGGCTTGGCTGGAGGTTTGTTCTGTTTCCCACCTCTTTGATGGTCATAATGAACTATGCAGACATAATGAACTTTGGAAAAAGTATAAATTGCCATTCATTTGTATGAGGGTGTCATTACACCCTTTGTAAGATGAGGTTCCATCTTACAAAGTTCTGTGTACAGGAAAGAGCACCATAGTAGAATTTCACTTAAAACTCACTTCTTCCAGGGATCGGTAACTGGTATAGACTTCACCCCACTCATTGGAGTTTGGGTTTTTTCATCTGCTTCTCAGTTCTCATTGACCCAGAGGTTGGTTGATTCATCTCTGAGTCTGTGGACTGTCAGATTCAGCTGTCTGGACCTTCACACTTGGAACCACTTCTGGTTCTCACGGTTCCAGCAACATATTGGTAGATTTTGTGGTTATTTCTGGGTTCTACTCTGCATACCACATTGTGATGGTCATTGCAAAGATGGCTTGGTAAGGAGACCTGTTCTCTGTAGCTTCAAAGATGGAGCAAGACTTGATGGGCCACAGAGGCAGTTGGAGTTACCCAGGGATGGAGAAGACCCTTTCATAAAAAAAGGATGTGGGTTAGGATGGTGAGATTATGGATGATTTAAATGTTGTGCTAGAGGTATTATTGCAGAGTAATTGAGAACCCCAGCTTTGGAGCCTGTCCACCTGGAGAGTTAGTAGTTCCCCTACTGACTCATGAAGCAGTTACGAGGATTGTAAAGCACATGGATCGGTACCTGGAAGATAGCAAGTGCTTTGTGAGTGTTGTTACTATTCAATAAAAAATAAAAAACAGGCTGTTTTATTTCTATAGAACTAATAATCTGCTTCATGTATAACATAGTTTTTCCCTTTCTGGGGCTTTAAAATAACTCCAGGTGTAGTACAAGGGCTTTTTTAAAAACTACTTATGCTTTTGAAAGAGGACTTCTAAAGGCTTGTTCCAACCTGAGAAGATAGGATTCCATGGTCACGCATGTGTTTCTTGGATGGTTTGAGTGGATGGGACCTGTGCTGTGCAAGGGAAGGAGAAGGAACCGATGTAATAATGAGCAGTTGCAGCAGCCAGGCTTTTTGATGTGCTCTTCATCTCCTCACGTTTAATGGTTGAGCAGCTTTTCGCTAAGCCCCTATAAGTAAATATTGTGAATGGGGAGGGAGGGAAGGACACCTGAGAGACTCACAGGGAGCTGACCTATGGAGGCACCTGTGCCTTGGAGGTACTGCCTCTTGAGTTTTGGGCTGGGCAGGGAGGGGACCTGCCCCATGTCAGGGTCAGCTGTGTTCACTACTTGGGGGAGATGCAAGCATGATTAACAGGCTCTGAGAAGAAATGTAAACCAGCAAAATGGAAAAGCCTCTGTTGTAGGCAAAGAGAATAATGATTGGCACCCTAATTCTGCATCCCTCTCTGAGGAGTGCAGTCTGAAACCCCACCATTGCCAATTGGTATAACCCCAGATTATCTAAACCAGGGTTTCACCACATGGTGTTTTGGGCTGGGTGATTCTATTAAGGGGGCTGTCCTGTGCGCTGCAGGGGGTTTAGCAGTGTGCCTGATCTCTACCCTCTGGATACCAGCAGCACCTGCCTTCCAGTCATAACAATCAAAAATGCTTCCAGACATTGCCAAATGTCCCCCGGGGAGCAAAAGCATTCTTTAGTTGTTAACCATTGGTCTAAATAAACAAATCAATATGGAATTTGTAAGTATTCCCTTTTCACATTGCTAAATTTGTCTCATACATGTAGAACTTAGAAGTGGGCTAATCCTTCTGCTACGCCCACCGCTTCTTCGCACTGCTTAGGCACTAGGACAGCAGCTTGAGCTTGGAAACCAGGCTCCCTCTTCCATTGTCTATGCCAAGGACCTGCTGCTGCTCCTCAGGCAGGCGTCCTGTCTGATGGGCCAGTGTCACTGGGCTGTGAGTATAGAGGTGATGTCATTGTGCCTTCCCAGGAAGGGTGGAACAAAGGACAGTGTCCCCAAGGACACCCGGCTTCGTCCTCAGCTAGGCTGCTGGGTAAATTTTTCCCCCTCCTTCCAGACTCAAGTGTTTGTTGTTCACGAGTGTTCCCCCAGTAGAGGACACAGGGTATGCTAAGCCAGCCAAGCTTTGTTTCTCTCTGTTGAGTCCATATCCTGCCCCTATGTGTCATAAGGGTTTGGTTCTGATCCAATCTCTGCATGGAATCTTTTATGCCTTTTTCAGTGTTATGGCAAGGACCCGAGGAACTTAGACCCTGTGTGATTTTCCTGTTGTGCTTATGCTACCCGCCCCGAAGCTGTGAGGAGAACAGAGAATAGCAGAGAGTGCGAGAGAGCGAACTGTCACTCTTTCATGTTTTAAACTTTCTTCCTCTTCTTTCCTCCCTCTTCCTGGAGTTTCTGAGGACAGTAGCCCCCTGTCCATAGACCCTCAGCCTGCTCTGTCTTCAGTTCTCTCTGCTCCCATCTGTGACCTGTCTCTTCACAGGGAGGAGCGCTGGGGGTGGGCTGTAACTTTCAGGACTGGGTGCTGTGGGAGAGCATTTATTATAGTCTCTTGAAGCAAATCCTCAGAATCTCCTTGTAAAGAAAGCTGTTAATTCAGAACTGGAAAAAAACCAGAGGTGTCTCTTTAATTTGAGCTTTACCCAAGGAGTGACAGTTGGCTGGTGACACATTTTGTGCTTGTTTATTTAGAAATACCCTAATCTAAGCAGGTTTTCATTTTGATCCTGTTCCCTTGATAGGATGGGTGTGGTAGTGACTTTGAGCCACAACTCCTTTATTAACACCCAAGGATAGCTATCCAAGTCTTTATATAAAAGACATTTCCAACCTCAGTGTAGCACATATAAGGTCTTTGTTTAAAAAAAAAAAAAAGGGTAACCCTAAATACATCCAAACTGGGAGTTGCTTATCATTTGGGAAATGTACCTAAGTGAAGCTTAATTTGTCTAGTATGTTCTGTCCTGGTCCTACTCTATCTAAAAAGCCAAACTCAGGTTAAAAAAATACAACTTTCTGTATATAAAGTTACCATTCATCATGGTGATTGTGTGATTAATAATGCATGCTGTCTTTTCTATATGACATACTATGATGATAGCAGTGCAGTTCCCCTTTCTGTCTGTGGCATGCCCCTCACTGCCATGTGCTTGTTCCCTCATTCTTGTCCTCTCTGATCCTTTGTCTGTTTCTGGTTGGCATTTGTTCTAGGGAAAGGCCCTTCTCTCCCTCTGGATGGATGGGCTGTTCCTTTAGGGAAAGATTGGCCCTGGAGGAGCAGCTGACTGTAGCAGGTGGCTGACTATCTTGGCTGGTGTTCCAGTGGCCTCACCTGCCAGGTTGGTAGCAGTAACGGCTCATCCATTGTAGTCTCTGCCTCCTCCCTCCCCATGGTGGGGGTGAGTGAAGAACTCAGTAAAACCTTCCAGGTAGACTTCTAGAATGCTCTGGCCAGTACTCCCAGGCCATCTGGCACATGCCCCATCAGCAAGGGTGGCTTTTCAGTTATCACTCAGTGGGGCTTAAATACATAAACCATTGTCTGGGTCTGCTTCATTTGTTTGTTGTTGATTCATGTGTAAGTGTCTTGGTGGGTTTGAGTTTGCACTGGAAGGAGGCAGCCTTGAGGTTCTTTCAGCCCAAACTCATGATGGTAGAACTAGAGGTGGGGAAGTAACTGACAGGAGGGTAGCTCTGTGAAGGAAAGTGGGTGAGTATGAATGTGTGGGTCCTGGGCACTTTCTGTGGGTCTCTGTTGAAAGTCTTCAGCACATTTTGCAGAAGCAAGAAGATTGAGTCAATTCTGGCCATTTTATGCTCTGAATTAGAGCTTGATCACCAAGGCTTGAAGAACTTAATATTGTTTCCTGGATGACTTAAACATGCAACCACCACACTTCAGATTATAAACTAGCAGTTCCTGCCATCAAAAGGTTGGAGTTTGGAGGTGATAGTTGTCTACTTTTTTATAGCTCCTGAGCCCAGCGTCTGCAAATTTTTGGTGAAACTTTGGATCCGTGAGCAGCTCTTCCAGTTTCCGGCCAAATCTCTTTACACTCTATCACCTTGCCTATCATTTTTCTGTTGCTCATGGAGCAAGCGTGTGACTGAGCAGGTAAAAGGGTCATTGCAAATCAAGGTCATGAGTGAATTTATCTTCTCAGGTGATGGCTCTGCTCTGTTCATGAGGAAAGCAATTTCTTGCTGTCTCCTGAGCTTTTCTACACTATGTCCTTCTATATACTAACATACACATTAGAAACTTTACCAATCAAATAAGGTATTACTGGGCAGGACTATGGACTAGACCCCACTGTGACGTACGGCATCCTGCTGTCCCTTCAGCAAAGATGGAAGAACGTGAAATGAATGAGAGCATAGGATATCCTGCTGTTGTGACACTGAGGGGCTCCACTGTTGCTGATAGAATTCCTGTGTTCCCAAAGAGTTGGTTGTACTTATGAAGAGCTAAGCAGAGGTTTCATTAATTTTCCTCTTCTTCCTTGGGCTGGGGTCCTGTGATCCTGTGAGCACAACCCCACCTCTGTGGTTGGAAGTAAAGTGAATTCTCCTCTGCTTGCAGATGAGCGTGAAGCTGTGCAGAAAAAGACCTTTACCAAGTGGGTCAACTCCCACCTCGCCCGCGTGTCTTGTCGCATCACAGACCTATACACTGACCTTCGAGATGGACGTATGCTCATCAAGCTGCTGGAGGTCCTTTCTGGAGAGAGGCTGGTGAGTATCAATGTTGTTAAGTGTCTTCCACCGTAGGTGTGAAAAGATTTTTGAAAAATCACATGTGGACTTGTCTCCTGCTGAATTCTGCAATTTATGGCTGATATTGTCGAGAAGGAGAATCTCGATACCTCCATTATAACATTCTGAGTGTCTGGGTGATGTTCTTGAACTACAATAAAGTAGCCGTGTTCTGGTAATTTGCATGATACTACCTCTGATCGGAAAGATCTTGCTGGTTTCCCCGTTAAACAGGAAATTGAAGGGCCACTCTTGGACACTGTTTCCTACAAGATCATGGAATAATTTAGATTTGTCTTACTGATTCTCTGGAAAATCTCAACTGCCATTTTAAGGTGGCAGGAATTGAATTCAGTGGTGTCAGTAGTGTTTTACTTTTCTTCCTGCACACTTTATTTTGGGGGTGGAGGGAAAGGCTGATGTTTTGTCATCTCCTTGGAAACTAGGAGCTTGTGATGAATTAACTCACTTTTTGAACAGGGCTGTTGTCAGCCTACTGTAAAAATACTATCTGTTTCCACTTTGCAGAGCTACCATGCTGTCTCTAATAGGACTTTTGTTTATGAACATTAATTCAAAGAAGTTTAAACCAGTCACTACAACTGACCCAACAGGTTTTGTCTCGCTTTCGTTTGAAAGTGGATGCTGTATTCCACCAGAGCGCACGCAGTTTCATAGGTGGTGGTGGGGCCAAGCCAAAAGCTGACGCCCAGGGAGAGAGCCCACATCTGTAGTGACATCACCAGGAAAATATGATGCTGGTGGTTGGCGGGGCTGCTAGGAAACCTTATTTTTAAACATGATCTCCACCCTGTAACTTGACAGATGCAGTGGGTCTTTGTGCAAACCTCCCCACACACCTCTGGCCACAGGCAAGGGACAGGGTTGTACCCTGCTCTATTATTAGACCACGGACAAAATTTCTTCTGAGCCTGGATAAAAGGGCAGTCAGTTTTCCCTCTCCCTGATCCTCCCTGATCCTCCTCTGAAAAATAATGAAGCCTTATCTTACTCATACTGAGTGTTTTCCCCTGCCCTTTGTTCAGTGAGCATGCAAATCTGGTAGCTTCATTTTCTTTGAGAGTTTGTGGGTCAGACTAGACAATCTAGAGAGATAAAGGAGGCTCTCACCCACGACCACGCCAGTAGTCGAGATGGTGGCTCATAGGGTGAGCATGGCACAGTGGACCTATGTGGGGCAGGCAAGGGCTCGTCATTTATTGCACTTTAACTTATTTTTTGAAGCATGACTTGAGAGCTGGCCAGAATTATCTTGACATGTAACTTAAAATATACTTTCAATAACCAGACTCTTCCCCACCTCTCGTTCTTTTTCTCCCCTTCCAATGTTTAGCCTAGTATAATTGTTTATTGGTTTATTTTATGAATATTGTTTTGAAAGTAGCTTTAAAAAATCATTTAAGGTCACATGGGTAGAAATTAGTTTGAACATTTTCTTCCCCAGTAGGGTTCTATTTTCCAGGCTGTAGGGAGTAAATTGTTCGCCTTTGAAGGTCCTCAATCCTTTTACATGAAGAAGATCGTGTCTTTGGTAATGTTCACATGGTAAATGATATCCCATCCATTTAATTCTGGACAGGGCAACAAAAATATTAATAGGGAGAAAAAAGCAACCACAAAGTATATAATTCTTAGTTGTGTGTGGACACTTACTCCCACTCCTCTTTTGTTTCCTGCAGGCAATAATTTTGGGTTTGTTAATTTTTTCAATTTTTTGCAGTTACCCAGAAACCTAAGAGTGTTGAGATAGAGAAGGACATGCTAGGCACCACAGCCTCTTAGGTAGTCAGTGTCTAAAATTAGGTACACTACCCAAGTGCCTTTCCTTTAATTATCCATTCCTCACAGCCAATCCTTATAATAAGTTGAGTGGTCTGATTAATCATCTTATTCCAGAAAATAAGGATACCATAGATATTGTGAGATAAAACTCTTGTTTGTTTGGGCTGGAGACTTTCAGCTTTTCTGTCCCTGTGGTGTATTTAGTTCACCTTTCTGCAGCTGGTTGCAGAGGCTACAGGGGACTTGTGTTAGATACCCTTTCTTGTAGGAGAGAAGCTCCAGAGAGGGCTCTCCTCACCCCAAAGGATCCTTCCAAGTTCAGATTCCAAAACCGGTTAGCATGTCCGGGTCTGAGTAGATTAATGTGCACTTTGAAACATGTCTCATCACATTCAGTCAGCGGTGGGCATTCTGCACCAGTGATCCACATCCACGGGGAACGTGAACATTTGCACTCCATTTGGAGCTGCATCACAGTCAGTATTTTAGCATTGGCACTTAGCACCAGCTAGGCAGTAAGTAGTAGGTAAATGTTTTGAAGGACTTTGGTATCTAAATGTATTAATACTTCATTAAGATAAATAGATTCTTCCAGCCAGTTCATCCCTCAAATTATGTCCCCAAAGGACTTAATTTGTCTGATTTATTAAAAAAAAAAAATTGAGGGGCCTCCCCGGTGGCGCAGCGGTTGAGCGCTGGGTTGCGAAGCTGCCCGCGGCCTCTGCGGCGCCGGTTCGATCCCCGGCTGCTCCCCGGCCACCAGAGGAGGGTCCCACATGGCGTGCAGACTTCTCCTGCCGCCCGCTGCTCCCCTCAGCAGTGTACTTCGGTCCTTCTGCCTGCTCTGCTCCCCGCTCTGGTTCTGGTGAATTCTCTCACCCTCCCGCGCTTCTGACTGTACCCAGTGCATGTATAAACAAAAAACAAACAAACCAGCAAACAAATAAATAAAGCATGCCTCTATAAAAAAAAAAAAAAAAAAAAAAAAAATTGAGATATTTTCATATAACCCTGCCTTAAATTTTGGCTAGATAAAATCTGAGTTAAAATTGAGGTTTTACATCAGCATTTAGATTATTTAAGGCATGTGATTCTGATACAGTGTGGGGAACATCCAAAGGCACAAATCCCCATTTCTGGTCCTGGCTTGGGCAGGATCCCCATCCAGAAGCAGCCCTCTCTCTGCTTGGTTTTGTCAGCTCATGGAGCAATAAGGTTGAGTCAGAAAGTTGCAGCTGATTGGGATTGGGTTGATGACAAAGAAGGACATTCCTCTCCAATAACTGGAATAACTTTCCAATAATGGAAATCAGGGTTGGTGGTATAATGGTGAGCATAGCTGCCCTCCAATGACTGAAATCACTGTGGATTGTTACTCTCTAACGGCCTTGCTTTTAAATTCCCTGAAAAATGTAGACCCACCCTTGACTTTAGCATCTACCAAAGAGGTGGAAGTAGGGGGGAGATGCAGAATCTGTGCTGGTCACTTTGTCATTGGCCCCAGATCCCAGAACCATATTAGAAGGGGACTTCTAATCTTCCCTGCAGCATTAACATCTGGAGGGAGTGGGGTTTCTGGCATGGGATCATCAGGCCTGGACTTGATGGTGAAGTGGAGTCCCAGGTCCCAGTACCTGCATTGAACATTTGCCTGTGCTTGTCACTGTCCTTCCATGGGCCTCAGCAGATGATTTTAGTTAATATGGCCAGTTTTCTGCTTTGCTTCTGCCAGACTGAACCTTCCCTCCAATGGAGAGTAGATAAGGTTTTCTAAACACCTTTGCCTTCCCCCAACCCTGCCATTTTCATTCACAGGTATCACTGGGTTTTGGTTGCTTCATGATTTCCTGATATTCTTCTAGCCTTGTTAATCTGAAAGAAGAGAAAGCAACAAAAAACAGATTTTTTTTTTTCTTGGTGAAAAATACAGATTTACCATGACATTTATTAAGCATTAAATCCACATTCAGTTGCTCTGAGTTTCACACTAGACTTTTGTCAGGAGACCCCCACTGGCATGTATAGTTGTTGAGACAGGATTTTATAGACCAGCCACAAACCCAGTTTTTTGTAATATCATCTGTGTGAGAGAATTTACTTTTGTTCTAAGCAGCTTGCCACAGAGGAACACCCTCCCCTCTAAAAATAGTGGTCTGGCTGTTGCACAAATGCAAAAAATGAATAAAAATAACAGTAAGGGTATCCTGTGATAAAGTCTGAATGAATGGCCCCAAAGCCATAGGGTTCAGGAAGGGGAACACCCTTCTGGATGGGGTGTCAAGAAACCCTGGAAGTGAGTGGGGCTCTACCTGGATCTTCTTGTATCCAGGTGGGGGTAGACAGAGAATATTGAAGTCAGTGCCAGATGTGAGGAAGAGTGAAGAGTGCATTTGCATTTGCGAGGTGTGTCAGGAACCGGTGCAGGGAAAACATGCTCAACAATCTGGAATTTGTTTTTGGAAGGAGTGAGGGTGGTAGTAACTTCCGTATATATCTCTTTCAGTGTTTACAGAGAAGTGCCACACACATCATCTCGTTTGGTTCTCACAATCTAATGTGGCTGCACTTCTGTTAACTCCTCTATAGAATAAACAGAGTGACCAATGACTTGCCCAAGGCCAGTTTCTCTTAGCAGTAATAGACCTTGGACTGCAGCCCAGGTCTCCTGTTCCCACTGAATCGTGATAAGGAGAAAATACTCTGCGCGAGTGGGTCTCAACGGGATGAGACAGGCAGGAATCAGTGAAACACAGTGTGTTGGATCTTGGTTGATTTTAATTAGGTTGCATCATTTATGCTCTTGTTAACCTCAAAGTTTGATGTGTAGGGAGGAGTTTGAGAACTTCTTATGAAATGAGTGTGGCTGCATATCATGTTAGAGGAGATTTTGGAAATAGCACTCCCCATCCTACCCCTCAGTATTAGGTAAAGGGGTGTGTGTGTGTGTGTGTGTGTGTGTGTGTGTGTGTGTGTGTGTGTGTGTGTCTGTGTGTGTTGATAACCTATTTTTAATAAAAAGAAAAACGTAAGTAAATGTCTTAAATATCTGTCTTACTGGTATACAGAGACCAGAGAAGTTAGTGCCTTTTCTCTATTTTTCTCCTTCTCTGAACAAGAAATAGATCAAGTAGGAGGGACTTGAGAATTTCACCTGCCTGCTAGTGAGTCTTCCACCA